GCCCTACTTATAAGGCTTAGATTTTGTATATGTGATCAAAAGGCTGTAAGGTGTGGGTGCTAGCTTATATTTTAATCTGCCTAGCTCGAGTAAATCCCCAAATCTCCTCCCAGAAGGTTTACTGTTTTCGCTTTACTTTGCAAAACATGAACGAAAACAGAACAACATTTTTCCTCAATCCAATATTCAGCAGATTTATAATCGTAAGATTTTCAGAAGACCTCCATTTCATATTTTAATTTTGTAACAAAAAATATTGAAAGTGGCACGTGTAATTAATTTGTTGTTTATTGAAGTATTTTTATTCATTTCAAATTAAAATTTTTCACATACAATCGATATCAGGTAATTATAAACATTTTTAAACATGCATTTGCAAATATGTATCTCTACAAAGCAACTTGCGCAGAAACATATATCTTTTATTCAATTGTTCGATTCAATTACTTAAGCTTTGTTAATGTTTACAAAATCTGAAAATTATTAATTTTAATTTTATATGACCCCCAAGGGGGCCCAAGCAAATTCTACCAAAATGTGTAAAACATAAACTATTATTGCTAGAGGCACATGGAAGAACTTCTTAAAGTCAATTATGAAAGGAAAATGCTTAAGAAGTAATGTAGCTACTCAAATTAGGATCAATATTATATACGTATGTACAGTAGAACTTCATTTAACCACCCATAATTATTTCTTCAGTCCGGATTACAAGATAAATAATATAATGTTATTATTTTTTAACCTTGTGCGGATTACAGAAGGGTCCAGATTAGACCATATCCGGATTATCGAAGTTCTACTGTATTTATTATTTGAAATTGTTCAATTGCCTTGCCTTTTTTCTTGGAATAATGTTGTCATATGGCGCTAAATAAATGCCCGAAACTAACATTTGGCAATGGGAAATTGCAAAATATCATCAAAGTTATGCAAATATTTGCAAAAATTTTTTCAAAGTTATTACATTCAACAAATCAAACGTAGGCAAACGAAAGCCGCGTTCGATATTGCAAATGGATAATTTTCTGTTCGTTAACTGGTTTGATTTTCCTCTCATTTTGGATAGGATTTCCGCTTACGCACGGCTCGAACAGTTTCTCCCTTTAGTTTGAGGGGATGTTTTAATTTTTCGAAAATACCCGGCACAGGATTTCAAGTATTTTTCCAGTTTAATGAAATCAATGGTTTCCTACTTCAATAACAGCCCACCAATGGGAGCAAGACTATGAATATTTGTGTATAAAATTCAACATTAAATACATCCAACGCTAACTGTCCTTCCAAAAGGAAAACTTTTGGCTTTATAATTTTTCATAAACGCTTAGTCAAATTGATATATCAAGCATATTGCATTGCTCTAATGCCGTTCAATATATTTAATTAAACGCCGAATGCGCTCTTTACCTGACCCTTGTTTCCACTTGCAAGTTTACGGAGCGGTACATAAAAAGCGATGGAGCAGAGAGCTTAAGTAAAAGGATATCAATTTCAAATTTATAAAATTACAATAAGGAAAGCAAAAACAATAGGGCTAAGAAAATAACTGCAATGATAAAATTTTTAGACTTGCACGAGATTACAATAAGGCACAATATTCTAGCTGTGTTAAGGTGCTGCAATAAAATTGAATATATTTATGCATGTGTAGGTGTGTGGGAGTATAGCTCGGATTGCAACCTCATTAAATTTATGGTCTCCTTGGCACACACATCGAAGCACTTGACAGTGACTGATGGTAAACAACATGCGTTGGGTAAACAAATGGATATTTCAGGAATGGTAATCAATACTCTTTGAACAGACATAAACGTATTTTGTTTCTTTGGTATGCATTTGGGCATAAATACATTGCAATGCATAGCGGAACAATATTCGCTAATTGAATCACTTCATTAAGCTGCCAGGTAGCGCAACTAGAAACAATCTTCAGAGGCTAAAATAATACTAAAGGCAAGTAAAAGTAATAGACGTTAGCTTAAAATTTGCATAGTAATTGAAATATTTTGTTCATCTTGCCAAAAGGACATCCTAAAGTAGAGTGGAAGCGCGTGCAAAAGATTGTCGGTTATACGTGGCGTATGCGCAACTTGCCGTGAAACTGTCTTGGCACACCTTGGACAGCCGACGCTCGACAGCCAGCCACCAAGTGGGCTTGGAAGTATTACTGCAACAGACAGGGCATTAATTACTTAAGCACTAAATAAAAGCTGAGAAAAATGAGTTAAAAGCTGTCTTCAGCAGTGACGGTAACTGGCAGCTTGAGGCACCGTGTGTGTGTGTGTGAGTATGAAGATCAGCTTGGTCGCCTCGCGCTGTGAAAACTTTGAAATTATTTTGAGGTGCAGCCTTGCTTGAAGCAAACTTTTGTTACAAAGCAGGTCACAACTCACCATGACAACCAGCGAAGCGATTGGTCAATGTGCGTGCAGGAAGAGGAGAAAGTGTGGAGTTTGCATGCATAAAATGCATACATACATGAAAACGTCGGCCGCTGTGGTGTAGTGGTAAGCAGTGCGCGCTTCCACTCCACAATGCCTGGGTTCAAACCCTGGTCAAAGCAACATCGCAAAAATATAGAAAAAAGGTTTTTTCTTAACAGCGGTCGTCCCTCGGCAGGCAATGGCAAACCTCCGAGTGTATTTCTGCCATGAAAAACAGCTTCTCATAAAAATATAATCGCCGTTCGGAGTCGGCGTAAAACTGTAGGTCCCTCCGCTTTGTGTGACAACATCAAGGCGCACGCCACAAATCGGAGGAGGAGCTCGGCCAAACACTAACATATGTGTAAGCGCCAATCTATTATTATTATTACATGAAAACGCATATTCACATATTCGCAAATACACATACATACGTATGTATGTATGTATATGCACAGTAGTTTTCTTTTGAACTCCTTCTCGCCAACAAACTGAAGTTCAGCACTTTTGCGTTAGGAAATTGTGTAGTTTTATTTATGTGTTTTGCGGAAATACAAGTACAAATTAAAGTGAAGAAATTGTGTTACTAGGTTATATCTGTGCGGTCGTATGCTTTACTGCACTTTGCCAATTTTTTATTAACCTATTTCAATTTTCGCAATTTGAGTAATGTGTGCGGAAACGGGCGCGTAAATAGTTTTTTATGGTTATTCTTTTGACAAAAGGTTATTGAACAATTTATTGATATTTTTAAGTGCAATTTTAGTTCAACGATTTAAAAGAGCAGTAATTTTTAATACTTCCATTAATGAACATTTCATTATGTTTCCAAGCAATATTTTAAAAATGAATTAACCATAGGTGTAGTTTGAGATGCCCTTCTAATAGAAGCTTAATAAAAATATAAATGTTTTAAAGGGAAACTTATTCTTTTTTAATCCAAAGTCAAACCATCTAAAGTCACTTAAGTAAATACAACAGATATACATACCTCTAGGTACATGAACTAAATAGTAGTAAATATAAAGAGAAAGTATGTTGTAGAGAATAAAGCTGTCTATGGGGATGCTGTGAGTGTGGATGATGGCATTCCTGCACATATCAAAACTCTCGCACATCCCTAATTTCATGCTTGTGAATACAAAACACATTACTTGGGAATTGTTAAGCGTAAATAAGCAGGGGAGCTGTCTAAAAATTATCTTTGTATGTGTGTACGTATGTACATATGTAGGTCTACAAGTGGGGGCATAAAGTATGTCGTCAAGCCAATATCAATGGAGCCAGGCCAATGGCAAAAACGACAACAACTACGAAGACCACATAAACAAAGATGGCGCTAAAAATTAGAACACGCGCCATGGCGGCGCCAATTGTCTGACTGCCTTTTGCTGTGTCCTTTGAAATTGTGCTGCGTTGATAGTTATGCAAAATTGGCGCCAAGCGGCGACATTTCCTCATAAATCGGTGTTGATAAAGTTAAAGGGAAATAAAAGAGCTGGGGAAAGTCTTTTCGAAGGACTATAATTTGCAAGTAATGAACATTTTATTGCTGCATTCACTGTGACACACTTCAAGAGTGAGAGAAGCGGACATTTACACAATAATTTGCAAATTACATCTTTTGCACTCTTTTCGCTTACTTTTCAGAAACTTGTTGCATTATAACATTTAATACAAATTGAAAGCACAATTTCACCAGCAGCATTTGTCAATCAGTGGTAATTTCCTGCAGTTTCTTTCATACATCATCCCACACACATACAGCCACACCCATATGTGTTCGCTCTCATAACAAAAAAAAATAAAAATAGTGGCATTGTAGGCGCCCAACTGACTAGAACTTCCTGTCGGACTATGCCATTTGTAGCAAGGAAACAACATTCGCAAGCATTATTCAATATTTATTTATTCGCAGTCTGCCATCAACCGCATTACTTGGTCGCTTGTGATGATGTCAATGGTGTCCCATAATTTATGTACATACGAGTATATGTATACAACATTCCAA